AATAGATATGAGTTATAAAAACCAAGAGAGAGAGAAAAACTAAGATGGTTTTGAAAATAAATATTTTAAAAAAAATAACAAGAGAGAAAATGTGTGTGTATTATCAAATATAAGACATATCATGAAGTTTTGATAATTTAAGAAATATAGTATTGGCCCAGTAATAGGCAAATAGATGACTGGGATAAAATAGAAAGACTAGAAACAGACTCTTGCATTTATAGAAATGTGATATAGATAGATGTTGTCATATATCAAATCAGTGAGCCAAGGGCCAGTTGTTAAACATATTTATTGTATTGGGGCAGTCAGCCTTGATATAGAAATAAAATGAAGTCTCTCTACTCATTCTATACATGAAATGAAATAAGATCCAGTTAGATTAGAGTTAAACACAAACTTTATAACTGTTAGAAGAAAGCACAGGAGAATGCCTTTTGGATCTTGGAGATGGAAAGTCTTTTTTTTTAAAGTGAATTTTCTTGTAATTCTTTTGTGGTTTTATTTTTGGATTTAATTTTTTAATCTATTTGGAAATTATCTTGTTAATCAATAAGAGGTAAGGCTCTAGGTTTATTTCCCCAAATTTTCAGTCACTTTTCTAACACCACATATTGAATAATTTATCTTTTTTCCCTGTTTTCAAATGATATTTTTTATCTTGTACTAAGTCATTATGGATTCTTGGTCTTCTGTTTTTTAGGCTTTCCTGCCTTATTATCATACTGATTTAATTATGATAGCTTGGTGAGATGTTTTAACATATAGAGAATCTTTTTAAGAAAACACATTTGTTGGGATTTTCAATATTTGGGGCTTATTTTAAACCTTAAAGAGCTTTATTAGTATCTGAATCATTTATGAATATTATTGAGTCATTTTTCAGAATCTCACTTAAATCTAGAAAAAGGTATCTGAGAACCACTTTTGAAAAGCTGAAATGTTTTGTAAATATGCTGAATATATGTGTATTTAATGTTTCTTTCTTTAGGTTAAAAAGATCCAGTTTACAGAAGAAGGAAATATATTTTAATTAGTTATAATACTTCATAATTTATTATATAGAACCTTTGAATTAAAAAAATATTTTGATGCCTGTGGGGGAAAAACAAGGCAAGGAATTGATTTATAATTCTTATAATTCTTATAGATAGAGAAAGATCTAATTTGTATTTTTTTTCCTAAATTTAAGTATTAGTGTGAGAGAGATTATATTGATGTGTACATTTTAATACCTAGCATAAATGTACCTAAGAACCTACCTCAAATTAGAATATTGTTTTTACCCATGAAAATTTTATAGCAATATGTAGATTACATCTCCACTGAAAGCCAATACATTTAAGCTGCAAGCTATTGTGGAATTTGAGAGACCAAGTTCAAGTTACTTTCAAAACCAAAATATGATATCTGTTTCTCAGGTAACTTTCTTAACCTTTATTTTGCTTCAGAAGTCAGACCAGATGGCGACAAGTTTTTAAAGTAAACTAGGTTACCCATATAGAAGTTGGGAAAACTCTCGTTTTTTTGAAAAGTTATTTGAATAGTGGAAGCGTAGAAACTTCTAGGGAAGTATTCTATAATTATTAGATAATTGGTTACATCCAATTATCAGATTGGAATTAAATTACAGTAATATTCATTGTCTCAGGAAGCACCAATGTGGGTGACCAGCTTCCCACTGGACAGCTGTCAGTGGTGCCGTGGCGACGGACTGGGGTGAAATACACCAACAATGAGGCCTATTTTGATGTGATTGAAGAGATTGATGCCATCATTGATAAATCAGGTAGGTATTTTTAATGTATCTTTTAAACTATGAAAATACGTAGAAAGAGGCCCCCTTTTTAGAATGCTTTCTATTAGCAGAATTATCCCCCATTCAAAATCATTCATTTCAACTTAGTGCCTACTTTATGTCAGGAATTATGCTGGGTACTAGGAATGAACTTAAATATTATGATGCAGATGACATGATTATATATGTACTAGAAGCCCAGCGTGCAAAATCGCCCAGCCCCACCCACCCACCCTGCCTCCCCATGCTCACAGCCCCGCCCACCCGTGCCGGTCTTTGGTTGTTACGGCATCACTGTGTTACGGTCACAGGCCTTTTATTAATATAGATAACCAAATATGTCTTGTACTGGCAATACTGCGTCCAGTTCCAAGCCCTGCCCACCCGCACTGGTCTTTGGTCATTACGGTGTTACGGTGTTATGGCCACAGGCCTTTTATTAATATAGACAAACCCCTAAAGATTCAACAAAAAGCTCTTAGAACTAAAAAAATAAATTCAATAAAGTTGTAGAAAAACAATCAACATACAAAAATTAGTGGCATTTCTATATGCAAACAACAAACTATCCTAAAAGGAAATTAAGAAAACAGTTCCATTTATAATAGCAACAAAGAGAATAAAATACTTAGGACTAAGGAATAAACTTAAGCAAAGAAGTAAAAGATTTGTATCTTGAAAATTATAAAACATTGATGAAGAAAATTAAAGAAGACACAGATAAATGGAAAGACACCTGTATTCATGGAGTAGAAGAATTACATTATTAAATGTCCACAATACCCAAAGCATTCTATAGATTCAATGCTATCCCCATCAAAATCCCAATGATACTCTTTATAGAAATAGAAAAAAAAAATCCTAATAGTCATATGGAACCAAAAAAGACCCCAAGTAGCTAAAGTAGTCTTGAGCAGGAAGAGTCAAGCTGGAAACTTCACACTTCCTGATTTCAAAATATGTTATAAAATTACATTAATTAAAACAGTATGCATCTGAAATAAAAACAGACATATAGACCCACGAAACAAAATATAGAGCTCAGAAATACCAGTAAAACCATACATTTATAATCAACTGATCTTCACCAGGAGTACCAAGAATATACTGGGGAAAGGAGTCTCTTCATTAAATGTGTCGGGGAAACTGAATATTCACAGACATATATCCACAGACAAAATCAACTCAAAATGGATTAAAGACTTAAACATAGACATGAAATGATAAAACCACTAGAAGAAAAGATAGAGAAAAAGCTTCTTGACACTGGTCTGAGCAACGATTTATTTTAGATATGACACCAAAAGCAAAGGCAACAAATGCAAAAATAGGCAAATGTGATTGCATCACACTAAAAAGCTTTTGTACAACAAAGAAACAATCAACAGAGTGAAAAGGCATCCTATAAGTGGGAGAAGATACTTGTGAACCATGTATCTGATAAGGGGTTACTATCCAAAATCTATAAGGAATTCATACAACTCAATAACAAAACAAAACAAAAAACAAATAACCTGACTAAAAAGTGGACATAGTACATGACATGTTTCAAAAGAAGACATAAAAATGGCCAGCAGGTATATGAAAAGGTGCTCAATAATTACTAATTATCAGGGAAATGCAAATCAAAACTAGGAGATACTGCCTTGTACCAGTTAGAATGGCCATTATAAAAAGACAAAAGATAAGTGTTGACAATGATGTGGAGAAAAGGTAACCCTTGTACACTGTTGGTGGGAATGTAAATTGGCACAGCCGTTATGGAAAACAGTATGGAGGTTCCTCAAAATATTAAAAACAGAACTACCTTATGATCCAGCAGTCCCACTTCTGGTTATATCCAAAGGAAATAAAATAAGTATCTCAAAGAGATATCTGCATTTCCCTGTTCATTGTAGCATTATCCACAGTAGCCAAGATATGGAAACAAACTAAATGTCTGTTGGTGGATGAATGGGTAAAGCAAATGTAAGATAGATATATACACACACAATGGAATATTACTCAGCTGTAAAAAGAAGGAAATCCTGCCATTTTAAACAACATTGCTGAACTTAGAAGGCATTACGCTAAGTGAAATAAGCCAGATACAGAAAGACCAATACTGCATGATCTCACTTATAGGAGCAGAGAATGGTGGTTACCAGGGGTTAGGAGGAGGGGGAAATGAGGAGATGTTGGTAGTTGCTACTGCTGATGTTGATGATGATGATGATGATGCTATTTGGTTGTTAAATATGATGAAGTTATATAAATAAAGGAGACAAAAAGGGGTTACATAGAGAGAGAGAACGACATAGTATGGCTGCAGAAAGCATGCTTAAGTCCAGTGAGGGAGAGAGAAAGGTAAAAAGGTGGAGGATAAGAGGGTATCCCATCCATCCAGAACAAAGTGTAAAGAGGTGATAGTGTTTATGATTTATCAATGGAATGAGTAGGAGTTATTAAAACCTTTATGGATTTTGGAGTGAAGTATGTGCAAACACTTTAAGATGAATAAAATATTGTTGGGAAATAAAGTAGTTTAGTATGACTGGATTGAGAAGCATAAAAAAAAAGAAAAGGCATAGCAGCTTTTCATATTAGTACCAAACTGGAAATATTACTGATGTCCATTAGTAATAGAAATGATAAGTAAATTTTGATGTCGTCATACAATGGAATACTATACAGTGATAAAAAAGAATGAAATACTGACAAGCCCAACAACATGAATAAATCTCACAGTGTTGAGCAAGGAACTTCGATGCATATGGTTATATGAAGTTTGAAAACAGTGCAACTTAATCTGAGGGAATAGAAGTAAGAATTTTAAGGACTTGGATTAACTAGGTTGGGCAAGAGGAGCACACTGGGATGCTAAAAAGGAATCACAACTTGATGTGGGGTATTGCATAAGTGTGTACATATTTAAAAATTCATTGAGCTGAACATTTACGATTTTTGCATTTTACTATAAGTTTTGCCTCAATAAAGAATAAAAAAAACCCACCCCAACGATTACTAGATGGCTAGATCGTGAAGAGTCTTGTGTGCCATTTTAAGGAAGATTATTTGGAACACTGGAAAAGTTTTAAGTTGGGGAGTAACTTGAACAGATTTATAGTGTAGAACTATCAGTCCAGCTGCAGTGTTAAGAATGGCTTGAAATGGGGTAGGACTGAAGGCAGGAAAAGCAGTTGCTGAAGTCACAAAATATAGACATCCACAATGGTAGTGAGGGTGGAGAGGAATGAGTAGATTTAAGAGATAGAAGTCATATAAAAGAAAGGAAATGATCATTGGTTAGATGTAGGTACTGAAGAGTTAGAAGTGGACAGGATTTTCTGGCTTAGGCAACAGGATAGATGGTATCATCGTGAAGATATGGGAAATAGGAAGAGCAGGTCTGGAAACGAAGATAATGACTCACTTTGACATGGAGAGTTTGAAGTGTCTCTGTGACAATCCAAGTGGAGCTGTCCTGTTGGCTGAACCGGAAAAAAATATTAGGAAATAACTGGTCATCAATGAAAACTGAAGCCTGGGGTGGTAGGCAGAGTAACCCAAGGGAAGAGTGTTGAGTGGAAGAAAGAGATGTTCAGAACTGTGAAAAAGCGTAGACATTTACAGGATGTGAAAAGAAAGAAAGCTGCAGAAGGCACTGCAGACGAGGAGCTAGAAAAGTAGAAAGCGAGGAGAGGGGAAGGTTTTGAAAAGGAAGAAGGGGTCAACAGTGACGTATGCTACAGAGAGATCCTGTAGGATAAAGACCAAGTGTCCATGCCATATAGCAGCACAGCTCCTTGGTGGCCTTAGGGAGAGCAGTTTCTGATATGAAATTTTCTGAACCATTGGTTAGGGCAGTGATGGCGAACCTTTTGAGCTCAGCGTGTCAGCATTTTGAAAAACCCTAACTTAACTCTGGTGCTGTGTCACATATAGAAATTTTTTGATATTTGCAACCATAGTAAAACAAAGATTTATATTTTTGATATTTATTTTATACATTTAAATGCCATTTAACAAAGAAAAATCAACCAAAAAAATGAGTTCGCGTGTCACAGGTTCGCCATCACTGGGTTAAGGTAATGATATTCTGTTTGATTCTGGTACTAGATTGAAAACTCCTTTAGACTAATTATCTCATTTATTTTTTATCCCCATGACTTCATCTAAGTATCTCATACTTGATATAAGGTTGGTAAATGTTTGGAAGGATGGACAATGCAAGTTGATGAATTGGATGTATAGACAGAAGGAAAGAAGAAAGAGAATGAGGGAGGGACAGAGGAAGGAAGAGATGAAAGGAGGGAGGGAAGAAGGAAATAAGTTGGGAAGAACAGAGAAGAGTTCAATAATCCTTACCTTCTTTTTGTCTTGTTCCTGTCTCAGGTTCCACAATTACCGCTGAAATCCAGGGGGTGATTGATGCTTGTGTCAAACTGACTGGAATGCCAGACCTTACCCTTTCCTTCATGGTAAAAGCCTGGTCCATGGGTTTAGTTCTTGGGATGGGAAATTAGATGCTTTTGGAAAGACAGAGTGGTGAGCATGAAACGGAGCAAGAAGATATAATGAAGGACAGCCATGCAGCTTGTGTCAGGCTTGAATTCTCTATAAGTAACCAGAGAATTTGTATGTGTGTATGTATTTTAATAAAAACAGCACCTAAATTACTCCTGAAAGAAATGTGGGTGTTTAATTCCTATCTCTTGGTTTTCCTTGCCTGGTAACTATAGAACCCCAGGTTGCTGGATGATGTCAGCTTCCATCCTTGTGTTCGTTTCAAGCGCTGGGAATCTGAGCGCATCCTCTCCTTCATCCCTCCTGATGGAAACTTTCGCCTGCTCTCTTACCATGTCAGTGCCCAGAAGTAAGCAGCCTTATTATTAAGAATGGTGTGTGCGTGTGTGTGTGTGTGTGTGTGTGTGTGTGTGTGTGTGTGTAAACCATATCCATAGTGATTAAAAACTCTGGTTGTGGCCCTGGCCGGTTTGGCTTAGTGGATTGTGTGTCGGCCTGCGGACTAAAGAGTCCCAGGTTCGATTCCTGGTCAAGGACACATACCCGGGTTGCAGGCTCGATCCCCAGTAGGGGGGGCGTGCAGGAGGCAGCCGATCAATGATTCTCTCTCATCATTGATGCTTCTATTTCTCTGTCCCTCTCCCTTCCTCTCTGAAATCAATATATATAAAGAACTCTGGTTGTGGAGTTACCAGGGTTCAAATTCCAGTTTCTATACGTACTAATTGGGTAAACTCTGGTGAGTTGCTTAACCTTTTTATGTCTGTTTTCGTTTTTGTTTGATTGTTTGTTTTTTAAATATATTTTATTGATTTTTTACAGAGAGGAAGGGAGAGGGATAGAGAGTTAGAAACATTGATGAGAGAGAAACCTCGATTTGCCTCCTGCACACCTCCTACTGGGGATGTGCCCGCATGCCCTTGACCGGAATCGAATCTGGGACCTTTCAGTCCGCAGGCCCACGCTCTATCCACTGAGCCAACCCGGTTAGGACCGTGGTCGGCAAACTGGGGCTTGCGAGCCACATGCAGCTCTTTGGCCCCTTGAGTGTGGCTCTTCCTAAGCCTTAGGAGTACCCTAATGAAGTTAATAACAATGTACCTACCTATATAGTTTAAGTTTAAAAAATTTGGCTCTCAAAAGAAATTTCAATCGTACTGTTGATATTTGGCTCTGTTGACTAATGAGTTTGCTGACCACTGGGTTAGGACGATTGTTTGTTTTTTTAAATACATTTTTATTGATTTCAGAGAGAAAGGGAGAGGGAGAGAGAGATAGAAACATCAATGATGAGAGAGAATCGTTGATTGGCTGCCTCCTGCATGCCCTACACTGGGGATCGAGCCTGCAACCCGGGCATATGCTCTGGCCGAGAATCGAACAGTGACCTCTTGGCTCATAGGTCCAAGTTCAACCACTGAGCTACACCGGCTGGGCTGTGTCTATTTTCTAACATCAAGTTGAAAATAATAAAAGTACCTTATTATGAGGATTAAATAAGAGAATCTAAATAGTGCTGATCACAAAGTAAGTGCTCATTAAGTTTGCTGCTATTATTTTTGTTGTGATTATTATATGTCTAAACAAGAGTATTTTCTTTCTCAAATTGGAATCTGAGTACACCTGTATTCAATGCCCCCCGACCCCAAAGAAGCATTAAATTATGCAATGAAAACCATAGACTGCAATAGTTTTTGATCTTGAACATTCTCTGTAATATGAGTCTAGGGGATTTTGGAGCCCTTAGTCAAAGGTATACATTAGAAGGTATGTGAACTGAAGAGAGCCATGAGACCTCAGAATCACCAATACCTTTCTGGTGTGATTTGGAATAAATAATATATAAAAATATCTGAGTGCTTGAGAACAATGGCTCTGGAATCAGACTGCCTAGACCTAAGCTCCACCTTCAGTACTTATGGTATGTGACCTTGGGCAAGTTACTTAACTGAGGTTAAGCATATCAGTATTCATCTATAAAATCAGGACAGTAGCAGTACCCATTTCATACTTATTGGGAGGATTAAATGAGGTAATAGAGATCAAGCATTTAGCATAGTGACTGGTACTCAGGAAGTGCTTAATAGATTTTAAGAACTGTTATTATTCTGTGACTTCTCTATTTCCTCTTTGGTCAAATCATGACAACTACCCTACTTCATAGGTTTTTGTAAGGATCAGATGAGGTCAGGTAAAAGTTCAAGAAATTATAAAATGTCCATGATGTATGAATAATATCATTCTCCCAAGCACAAATAATTATCAATCACATGTCACAAAATAAAACAGAAATATGGTGATTCCTAATTTTTGTTCATAGTGCCTTTCTCAGAGTAGGCTTATCATACTCTTTGATATTATGGATATTATTCAAAGAGTTATTAAGAAGAGTTAGTTTACTTACTAGATAGCATCTTAGCTTTACAAAAAGAAAAAAAATCAAAGATTACCAGGTGTTTTTTTTCCCTCCTGTGCTTAATTTTTAAGATAAGGAATAAGGAAGCAAGTAAGGGCGGAAAAGCTGCCAACAGGGCAAAGGAGGAGGAAAGGTTGCTGTTTTCCCAGAACATTCATGAAATGGGCTTCTGTGCGTCTCTTTTCCAGTCTGGTGGCGATTCCAGTGTATGTCAAACATAACATCAGTTTCCGGGACAGTAGTTCACTTGGACGCTTTGAAATAACAGTGGGACCTAAGCAGACCATGGGGAAGACCATCGAGGGAGTGATTGTCACCAGCCAGATGCCCAAAGGGGTCTTGAATATGAGCCTCACTCCATCTCAGGGGACACACACATTTGACCCAGTTACTAAGGTAGGAGAATAAGCAGGAGGTTTTAAATTGCTGACATTAAGTAGAAGTAACTCTGCGGGAGCTCTCCCCATAGACTTTATACCTGGTTGAAAGGGGCAATCAGTCATAGGGGCATTGTTTTCTCCTGGAGGTATTTTATGGTAAAAAATCGTGTTCTCTGTTGAGAAACACCCTAGAGGCACCTTATAATATTGTGAACAGTTGCCCTGAGGTTAGAGCTCAGCAACCTCACATGAATGGTTCTGCTGTAACTTTTTTTTTCTTTGAAGATGCTGTCTTGGGATGTAGGAAAAATAAATCCCCAAAAGCTACCAAGTTTGAAGGGGACCATGAGTCTTCAGGCTGGAGCTTCCAAACCAGATGAGAACCCCACAATTAACCTGCAGTTTAAAATCCAGCAGCTGGCCATTTCTGGTAAGTGCCCCACTGCTTAGATGGCTTTGAAGAGAACAGAAATGTCACAGACATCACAAAACCTTCTCTTGGCTCCCTGCTTATCGAGTCTGATTTTATTACCCGACTAGAGACCCGGTGCACAAAAATTTGTGCACTCGGGGAGGGGGGCGTCCCTCAGCCCGGCCTGTGCCCTCTCGCCGTCTGGGACCCCTCGGGGGATGTCCACCTGCTGCCTTAGGCCCACTCCTCGGGGGATCGGGCCTAAGCTGGCAGTCAGACATCCCTCTGGCAGCCTGGGAGCCCTTGGGGGATGTCCACTTGGCAGCCGGGAGCAGGCCTAAGCTGCAGTTGGATATCCTTAGTGCTGCTGAGGAGGTGGGAGAGGCTCCCACCACCACCGCTGTGCTGACAGCCGTCAGCCTGGCTTGTGGCTGAGCAGAGCTCCCCCTGAGGAAGAGCACTGACCACCAGGGTGCAGCTCCTGCATTGAGCGTCTGCCCCCTTGCGGTCAGTGTGTGTCATAGTGACCAGTCATTCCCAGTCGTTCTGCTGTTAGGGTCAATTTGCATATTACCCTTTTATTATATAGGATAGAGGCCTGGTGCATGGGTGGAGGCCAGCTGGTTTGCCCTGAAGGTGTTCCGGATCAGGGTGGGGATCCCTCTGGGGTGCCTGGCCAGCCCGGGTGAGGGGCTGAGGGCTGTTTTCAGGCTGGCCAAGCCCCCCAGCGGGGACCCTCACCCCATGGGGGTGGGGTCCCCACTGGGGTGCCCGGCTAGCCTGGGTGAGGGGTTGATGGCCGTTTACAGGCTGGTCAAGCCCCCCAGTGGGGATTCTCACCCCATGGGGGTGTGGCCAGCCTGGGTGAGGGGCTGAGGTCTTTTTTCAGGCTGGTCACACCCCCTTCAGTGTGGGGGGTCTCGCTGGGGTGCCTGGCCAGCCTGAGTGAGGGGCTGAGGGCCGTTTTTGGGCTGGCCACGCCCCCCGGCAATCCAAGCTCCCAGCCTCTCCTTTTTTTTTTCTTCTCCTGGGATTTATTTATCTTCTATAATTGAAACTTTGTAGCCTTGAGCAGAGCCCAGGGCCGGCCAGGGCAGGTGGGAAGCTTGGCTTCCTCCATCGCTGGGGGCAACCCAAGCCTCCTGCTCACTCTAGCTCTGTGGCTGCTGCCATCTTAGTTGGGTTAATTTGCATACTCACTCCTGATTGGCTGGTGGGCGTGGCTTCAGCATAGCAGAGGGATGGTTAATTTGCATGTTTAACTTTTATTATATAGGATATGTAATCTTTAGTAAAATCTTTTCTAGTGTATTTCTGGGGAAAGTTTATAATCCTTGCTTTGAAGTTGGCCTAAGGGACCTGAATAAAAGTGTCTGAGACACAGATGAGAAAGGAACAATATTGGTAGGCAGAGGTGTTCCTGGGCAGTTGCTGAGTCATCCTAGGTTGTCAGTTTGGGCTTTCCTGGGTCTTCAGTGTGGGAATGCTTCTGTACTCTCAGCTGGTAATTGAAAAGAATAATTTCCTTTCCTTTCCCCCAATTTCAGAAGACTTTCACATTTGCTTTTTAAAAAATTCTCACCCAAGGATATGCTTATTGATTTGAGAGAGAGAGAGAAGAACATCTATTGATTGTCTTATGTCTATGCCCTGACCAGATATTGAACCCCCAACCTAGGTACGTGCTCACTGGGCATCCAACCCACAACCTTTCGATATATGGGATGATGCTCCAACCAGCTGAGCCATACTGGCTAGGGCCACATTTGCTTTTGTTATCATTTAGAATCCTTGGGCCTACCCAAGTCAGTTCACTATAGTCTATACTTACTTCAAGATGATCCTATATAATAAAAGCCTAATATGCTAAGTGTCTGGTCGTCCGGTTGGCTGTTCAACCCCATTAAAGCGTAATATGTTAATGATATGCTAAGGCCACTCAACTGCTCTCTATGATGCGCACTGACCACCAGTAGGCAGACAGTCGACTGGTCAACCAGTCGCTATGACATGGACTGACCACCAGGGGGCAGACACTCCAACCATTAGGTAAGCTTGCTGCTGGGGTCTGGCCAATTGGGACTGAGCGAGATGGGCCGGACACACTCTGGAGCCCTCCCTCGGTTCCTCCCTGGCTGGCCACCTTCCAGTGTCCCTCCCCAGCTCCAATTGTGCACCGGTGGGGTCCCTCGGCCTGGCCTGCGCCTTCTCGCAATCCATGCTGAGGGCCCCCTCCCCACCGAGTGAACGAATTTCTTGCACTGGGCCTCTAGTAGTAATAATAATAGTTAGCAGTTACTGGGTATTTACTGTGTGCTGGGTACTGTTTTAAGCTTTTTTCATCTATTATTCAATCTGTTGAACAATCCTGTAAGATAGAGAGGAAATGATTTTAACTTTACATGAAGTTCCTATTTTTCTTTACTAAAGGGCTTTGTCTAATTTAAGTGATTAGAATTTACTTAAATTAAAAACCCTTTCATCTTAAAACACTTAATAAACTTTAAAGTTTTACAAAGGGTTTTGTCTAATTTAAGTGATTAGAATTTACTTAAAAACTCTTTCATCTTAAAACACTTAATAAACTTTAAAGTTTTATATGGTATAAATTTTTTTTTTGCTTAGTATAGTGAGAATACCTAAGAAGCATTCATTTATTCATTATTTTCCATTATTCATTCAGTGGTGATTTATTTCATTATTAATTCCTTGATCTTATCACTGTCGATTCAGGTATTCAGTACAATAACTAGAGGAAAACACATGGTGCTCTTATTTTCCTTGCACCTCATTTCAGTCTGCATATAACTTTCTGCCCTTCCACTTCAGGAACAGGTCCTCTAATACTTTTTTTTTTTTTTTTTTGGCTCATGGCTACTATTATCTCTCTCCCACTCTTTGAATTGAAATGAATTTAAACAGTTATGCTACCTGCTTCTTTTGAATCATGCTTATGTCATATTCTTCCTTCCTTCCAGGACTCAAAGTGAACCGCCTGGATATGTATGGAGAGAAGTACAAACCCTTTAAGGGCATAAAATACATGACCAAAGCTGGAAAGTTCCAAGTTCGAACCTGAAGGGAGAGTTTTGCAAAGGGAACAGTACAAACACTTTTTCATTTCTTACTTGTCTAACAGTGTAAAACAATTTCAGCCTGTCTCCTAGGTCAGTCCCCTTCTGGACCTAACTGCTCCCATTTTTCCTCAGCCTTCAGTGCCATGGAACTAATCAAGGGAGAAAAGGGTCGCCAGGGAGGATGGGACAGAACTGAAATACAGTCAGCACCGTCTCAGTTCTTAAAGAGCTGGGCGATGGAGGCCAGGGGTACTTGACACCATATTTAACTATTTTAATGTGGTTACCATAGGAAAACACTAGCATTTGTTACTTGCTTGGCTTTAATTATCTAAAGCCAATGAAAAACTTCTTTGTTATTGTTTTTTTAAGGTGGAAAGAAAGTAAGGGAGAGAAAGAGGAAGAGAAAGGGAGGGAGAAAATGGGAGGGTGGGAGGGAGGAAGGAAGGAAAGAAAAAAGAAGAAAGAGAGAGAAAAATAGGAAGAAAGAAAGGAAAGTTTGGAAGAGAATGAATGTTAGTCAAGCAAAAGCCAGTTAAGGATCTCGTCTGTGAGGGGGAAGAAAGTGGAAACAGTATAATTAAAGAAGTATGAGCACACTAAAGTGAAAGTGGCAAGACAAGCAAGTCCCACATGAAGGAGGGCTGGAAAGAATAGAGCTGAGTTTCTTTCCGATCTCTCTACTTTCATATATTTAAAAAATTTGTACTTCTAGAAATGAACTGGCAACTTCTTAAACCGAGTCCACTATTGATATGGAAAACTCCAGTAGAACCTGATTGCCCCTTAAAGACCAGGACTCTATCTGACCAGTTTTCAGATAGTGGCTGCTGCTTGTCTTCAGTACTTGGTTGGTCATCTTCAGTGAGAAGGTGACTTGCCTTTTCCTTGTGGTGGTTGCCAGAAATGCCTCTTTTTGTAACCCAAAACAATTCTACTCACTTCACAGAATTCACCAGCTTTTGCCTGTTACCCGAGGAGAGTTTCAGAAAAGCCAGTCCGGGGCAGCCATATTCTGTATGTCACAGTATCGGAGTGTAGGTAGCCCGCTCGGTCCTCAGGAAGGTGTACCACAACTATAACCCAGTGATTTCTCCTTTTTAAAAAATAAAAATAAAAACATTTTAAAATTGATTTTGGAGGAGAGATAGAAACATCAATGATAAGAGAGTATCATTGATCAACTGCCTCCTTCACACCCCCTACTGGGGATCAAGCCCATAACCTGGACATGTGCCCTGACTAACTGTGACCTCCTGGGGCCATACCTGCCAGGTGATTCCTTTTCATGTGTCAGTGCTGGACTGGTCCTGGAGTCTAAGCCGTCTTGTTGGAAACTTTTTTATCCATAACCCTAAGTCAAAAGAATGCTTAAATGAGGATGGATTCATCCTTGAAGCTGCTCAGTAAAGTTACTTCCTCGATCTTTTATTTTGTTCTCTATAATATATTTATTAACACTAGAGGCCTGGTGCACAAAAAGTTGTACACTTGGGAGGGTCCCTCAGCCTGGCCTGCGCCCTCTCGCAGTCCAGGACCCCTCGGGGGATGTCCACCTGCCAGCTTAGGCCTGCTTCCCAGGGGATCGGGCCTAAGCTGGCAGTCAGACATCCCTCTGGCAGCCCAGGAGCCCTCGGGGGATGTCCGCAGTCGGACATCCTTAGTGCTGCCGAGGAGGTGAGAGAGGCTTCTGCCACCGCCACTGCGTTCCCAGCCTTCAGCCCAGCTTGTGGCTGAGCAGAGCTCCCCCCGTGGGAGTGTACTGATCACCAGGGGGTAGCTCCTGCGTCGAGCGTCTGCCCCCTGGTGGTCAGTGCACGTCATAGCGACCAATCCTTTCCGGTCGTTCCTCCATTATGGTCAATTTGCATATTACCCTTTTATTATATAGGATAGCTATCCGCCAGTTCATTTTTCTTTTAATCCTTCCCCCCTCAAAAAGTCCCCCTAGTCTTTGAATAAAACTAATGTTGTAGGAAGATGGGTCATGTTGATTATGTGTAAACCAGTTTCAGAAACATGGCAACTGCAGGATTACCTCAGGCTTTCCCAACGGGTAATTTTTATTCTAGTTTAGTGTGTCTGTTACCCATTTAAATATTTATATAAAAGGCAGGTTTTTAAAATCATAGCTTAAGTAGTGATATTGTTGTGCTTTGCTTCATGCATGGAGAAAAATGAAGACACATATTCTCCAAACCTTATAGTCTTTCTCTAAAGCCCTATTTCCAAAATACTTAAGTGATTCTTTTTCTAGTTTTACCTTCCTACCTGCTGGACTTGTTTTTGCTGCAGAGCAATGTTGCTTTGTGGTTTTTCTCTGGGATAAATTGTGTACTATATGATGTGTTTCAGATCCCACCACTCCAGAATTTTCTGAGTGCTATGTCCCATATACACACCTACCATGTGGTTGGTAGAATACGTGAAATTACTTCTCCTGAGGCCTCTGGAGGATTTTAACGTTTTACAGAAAACAACCAATCTTGGTCCCTGAATATTTTTAGTGTTATAAGTCCAGCTGTTGTATTTCCTCCAGGGCAGCTCATCCTAATCTCAAGGGAGGATGTTAAGGGGGAATAAAGTATCTAGGGGATGGGAGCTGCAGGCCTTAGCACATGAAGTGACTCTCACACCACCTGTAGCAGAGCCCTGGAGCACAGCGGGGTGGCGCTGCTATCACCTGGCAGTGTGTTAGCATAAGTAACGCAGGGTGGCTTGACCATGCTGTGTTTAACATGTGCAGAACTGTCTTCTCTGTTTGTCTTAATAAAGTGGAGTTTTACCATCCTCCGTGTCCTGAGTGTTTTGTTGCTAGGACTAACGACGATGCTAGAAGCAGTAAGAAATAATTCAGGAGGATCTTACTATTGTACTTTCAGCCAACAGACCTAAAGCCATATGTATGGTTTGATTCTCTAGTCATCTCTGGAAGACAAGGATATTGGTATTTAAGTCATTTTTAAAAAAAAGATATTGATTTTTAGAGAGAGAGGAAGGGAGAGGGAGAGGGAGAAACATTGATGTGAGATGGATCGGCTGCCTTCTGCACTCCCCTCACCCTGTGGAGATCACCTGTGGAGATCGAGTCCACAACCTGGGCATGTTCCCTCACTGGGAATGGAACCAGCAACCTTCTGGGGCTTGGGATGACGCTCAACCAACTGAGCCACACCAGCCAGGGCTTAATGTCATTTTTAAGGTTGTGAGAATGAAGGTCTAGATCAATCAAATTATTTCCTCCCAACCCCCGTGTGTAAGAGACAAAACCATTAAGGCTGCTGATGTCTGCTCTAGTTCTCTCCCCATCTTCTTGATCATGTTTGCTGATTAACTCAGACATGAAACAGGGCTTCAAGGTTCCCAGAAATCTTAACTGTAGTAGAGATTTCTTGGAAGAGAAGACATTAGGAGTTTTGGTAAAGTAGACACTGGTGACTATCCCATATCTGTATTAATTTCGTTCTGTAGCCCTAGCTGGTTTGGCTCAGTGGATAGAGCATCAGCTTGCGGACTGAAGGGTCCCGGGTTCGATTCTGGTCAAAAGCACATGGCTGGGTTGCGGGCTTGATCCCCAGTAGGGGACGTGCAGGAGGCAGCCATCAATGATTCTCTCTCATCATTCATCATTGATGTTTCTATCTCTCCCTCTCCCTTCCTCTCTGAAATCAATAAAGATATGTTAGTTTCGTTCTGTAAATCCCTCATGGCCATGAAGAAATTTTAAGACATTTCTGTTGACTTACCACAAGTGTTTAATATCTATTACTATTCCGATCTAGCTATCTTAGTCATTGTTAATATCTTTGCCCTTGGCCTGGCTCTTTTCCTTGCATTGGAGTGTGACCAGGTACATTTTATACATGCACTTCCCTATCTGGCCAGTAGGTGGTGACTCCGGGCCAGCAATGAGATGAAATTTTTATTTGAATTTTAAAAGGTGAATTGAATATGAAACTCTTAAACTGTCCCCAAGATCCCAAGTACTGGGGATTGTGTGAATCTTTGGCTTTCGAAGTTAAACATGGAACCAAAGTTTATGACACTTTTTGATAACCATATTTAAGATTGAGGCTCGAGGAGAAAAACAGTTTCAATCACCTGATTTCCTCTAGTCTTCACCCATTAAGGCTAATTGCACAATTACCTGAGAATCTTTCTTGTTCTTCTGGTCTATTGGCATCTATTTGTTTTATTATCTGGCTGGGGATAGTGAGGGGGAATATACGATTTAATTTCCCGTTATGCTCATTTCCTTCCCCTGACAAGTTCCACACATTTTATCCCAAATTTCCTAACCCACACTGGCTAATGATGTGTTGCTCTTTGAGTGTATTTTAGTAAAATTCTGCCATGGAGCTCAGTCAGTGGCCTTCTCTGAGCAATTGTCTTCCTCCAGCCTGCGGTTTCCAGGACCTCAGTCAGAGGAACGCCAGGGCCTTTTAACTACATTTCCATCCCAGGAGGCCTGACTGCTTCAGTTCACTTCATTAACTCCACCATCTGAGGAAAAGCTGCTCATGCAAGGGGCAGGGGGTGAAACCAGCCGAATTCCTGCGGGAGATTCAGCACTGGGAGTCTTGTTTATTGGTGTCCTCTAGCCATGTTTTTCTGAGATGGCTGAAAGACATTTATCTAAAATAAAATCTGCCACTTGCACAGGGAAACTTGTAAGCGAGCAGTCCGAAGTCAAGAAATCTGTGACGAAAGTGTCTGTGGCCTGCAATTACTTAACTGATCCAGGGACTTCAGCATTTCAGGGAAGTTGGATTCTGCACCCCGCACTCCCCACTCCCCACCCCCAGCCCTGAATCCAGCTCTTGCGCCTTACAGAGTATCTTTCTTCCATGAGTTAAAACTACTTTTCTTCTGAGAACCCCAAACTGAGCAATCTTACAACATCGTGAGAGACAACTACAACCACCTTTTTTGCCTCCAAGAAACTGTCAGCATATACGCAGCAGGAAGCATTGCATCAGCAGATTTATTCTTGGATCTGGGGCATCAGTAATGCCTGCTGGGCAGCAGCCAGGTGTAGGGGTTATATAAGGAGTCTAAGAGAAGCAGAAAGCAGCATTCCGTAAGCATAACCTGTGTGGACTGGTCTGGGAATTAATTCTTTCTGATGAACAGGAAAGCCAAGTAGAATGGGGGGGAACTGGCCCAAATATTAGCTTCTAGTCCAGCGATGGCGAACCTTTTGAGCTCGGCGTGTCAGCATTTTGAAAAAACCTAACTTAACTCTGGTGCCGTGTCACATACTGTATAGAAATTTTTTGATATTTGCAACCATAGTAAAACAAAGACTTCTATTTTTGATATTTATTTTATATATTTAAATGCCATTTAACAAAGAAAAATCAACCAAAAAAATGAGTTTGCGTGTCACCTGTGACACGGGTGTCATAGGTTCCCATCACTGTAATCTAGT